AACCCACCATGCAGGACACACTTATTCAGTTCTTCTACGTAGACTCTAACCATATGTTGGAGAAGGTCATCGATCATCGGCTTGATCTTGAATCATAATTTTATGTTCGTAAAACCTTTTGAATTCCTATAATGAATTAATAAGTTCATCAAGTTTTTAAGCAGCATTCAAAATAATCAAGCCTACCAAGACTTTTCTCATATTTCTTTTGATTTATTGCATCTAAAATATGGGCCCACTTCTCTTACTAGGTCTAGGACACGTCCCACATGGTACGGTATGTACAAGGAAGATATTTAGAGTATAAGAGATATCCACCAACCATCCTTGTCTTCATATTTACCCATGAAAAATGGATAGTTTTTGGGCCATTTCTCCCATACTCTAGCCAAGAAATACCTAACGTATCTCTAGGGTAGAAATTAATGGCCACAGGTGCAGCTGGAGATGGATTTCTTCGGGGTGTATTCGAAGGGTGCATTTTAGGCAGGGAAACGGGAGTCCAAAGAAGGCCGTACCATAAAAATTGTGGGTGCCAATTACATAAATCGGGTCAAAATTGCTCGCATTTGTCAAAATATAGAAGCGTGTCGTATCCTGTTAGGCGAACTTGGAGCGAAGGTTGCCTCATGTTGATGGCATCTGGGCTCTCGTCGTCCCCTTGTTCCTCCCCCGTCATATCCTCCGGGGAGATAAAAAGGACGCAAACACAGTTGACTATATTTAAGGAGGAAGAAGAAGAAGAGCACACTAAGGTTTGATCCTTTTCATTTATCTTGATCTCTCTTCCGACATTTGGAATAATTGTTGCTTGTGTTTCTTTTTATGTGAGAATAATTTTATGAAAGTAATGGTTGTGGAATTAAGTTTGGTTGGTTTTTGTTTTTATTTTATGGGATGGACGAAACGTGTTGTCATGTACAAATTTGTTGTCCGTGATCAACCTGTATGAATTGTAATCAAAGAGATATACTGATAAATGTAAACGCTTGGATAATGTTTCCTCAAATATAATTTCTTCTGGTATTGCACCTTTTATTCCCACCCCATTATTGATGATGACATTTATGTTCTGAAAAGTTTTACATTATTGATTATTGGGAAGAAAAGTAGGGTTTCATCACAACTTTCATTAAAGGGTGCGTTATTTATTGATACTAATATATATTTAGAGGGCATGATCATTTGAGGTCAATTCTATTTTTCATCATAACTGTGTGTTCGGCATGCAGGATTAGTCATAACGAGAATAAACAAGATTTTATTCTCTCAATTAAATCTTATCCAATTCTTCTTATCAAACATGACATAAAAAAACGTGAAATTCCACATATATTTGTGCGTCAAAAGTTGGACAATTACAGCGAGAATATAGCATATGAGTTTACTTACTGCACACACGAAAACTTACCTACCCCTACTTTTCTTGTAATTTTGATTTCAATTTTATATCAATGTCCAAAATCGCAACTATTTATATTCCTAAAGTCATTAAAATGTTTCAAGGGTAAGTATGATCTTAAAATTTCAATAAACACAACAACCAAACTTGTTTAGAATAATCTATCGAATGCTAATTTTTGCATGTATAAAAAGCATGATTTGTGATCCAATTTAACATAGTCAATAGTGTTGGGTTTTCTTCGTCTTGTGCTTTTGACTCTCACTCTCACCCTTTAGTGAGCTAGAGGGGGAGATTACAAGGCAAACTTATTCGAGTAAGAGCATTCCATAATGTATTCCACGAGCAACTTGATCAATCTTCCTCGCAATTTAAACTTGTAGAAA